AGGTGACTGGGTCCAGCTGGTGTGAAAGGGAGTGGTGACGGGAACCTCTGCCTAGAGAAAATGAATTATCATCGGGTTAATTAGAATTAGGCCCAAGTTCAACCCCCGTCCCACCGGAAGAGTCCTGTTGATGCTCCTGAGAATTAAAAAAAACCACAAAGATCAAAAAGAAAAAGAAAGATCACAGAACACGGGGCTCCCAAAAGATGGAGGGTGCCCAACGGAGAGCATGATCCAACAGCAGAAATGTCTCCAGGGTCAGACAGTGGGGCTTCCAACCACAGCATGGTTGGCACGTCTTTGGTAAATTATCATAGGGACATTAAGGGGGAACGATGGCAGAGAGGAGCTGCTTAACATTTTTTAATTGAGATGTAACATGATACTGGAAAGGGCATTCATTTTTAAGCACAGGCTTTTATGAATTTTTACGTAGAACTGCACTCAGGTAACTGCTACATGGATCAAGCTATAGAACACTTCCAACACCCAAGAAGGTTCTCTCTTCCCCTTGCAGGTTAATACCCACTGCATACTACTCCCTCCTGCAGAGGCCACCTCTGTTTATTCACTCAGCATGATGTCTGTGAGGTTCATCCATGATGTTGTACGTAGCAAGAGTTTGTTCTTTTTTATTGCTGGTTCAAATTTCATTGTGTGACTAACTGTACTCCAGTCTATCCACTTTGCAGTTGATGGGCCTTTGATTTATTTCCAACTTTTGGTGATTATCAACAAAGTGGCTAGGAACATTCTGGTAGGCATGCATTTAGCTTGTATAGATACTTCCAAGCAGTTCTCCTGAGAAGCTGAACCAGTTTTCACTCCCACCAGCATTGTGTAGAAAAAAAAAATTAACCTCAACCCATACCTCCTACCGTACATAGAAAATCGATTTGAGATAGATCATAGAGCAAAACGTGAAAGATAAAACAATAGTTTCCAGAAGAGAACATAGGAGAATATCTTCATGACCTTAGGATAGATAAAAACAGAACACAAAAGGCATTAACCATAATGGAAAATATGGATAAACTGGGCTTCTTTAAATTAAGAACTTTGCTCCTTAAAAGATACTACTAAGAGAGTGAAAGGGCAAACTCAACTGCAATAGATATATGCATTGTATGTATCCAACCAAGGGTTCTTATCCAGAATATATAAAAGACTCCTGCAAATCAACAAGACAGTGACAAGCAACTCAATTTTTAAAAGTGGTTGAAAGGCTCCAAAAGGCATTCCAGGAAGGAGAAGATTCCAATGATTTATTAACATATGAAAAGATGCTCAACCTCTCTGGTCATCAGGGAAACACAGAATAAAACCACAACAGAGACGCCCGCTACATAAACCACCAAAATGGCCAAAATTAAAATAAAACTGATTCTACCAAGAGCTAGTAAAGATGCGGAGCCACTGCCAAGTGCCATCCATTGCTGGAGGGAGTGCAAATTGGTGTGGGAAAACCTTTTGATTATTTGGGCCCATCTGGCTGGACTTTCAGAGCTGGGCGTTTCCGTCTCAGGCCTGCTCACCCATCACTGGGCAGTTTCGCAACTTGGGAAAACCGTTTGGCTGAACATACACACATCCTGTGACCTCACACTTCCACTCTTAGGTATATACCCAACAAAAAATGTGCACATTTGTGCACCAAAAGACATTTATAAGAATGTTCATAGCAGCACTATTCTATGGCCCTAAATAGAAACAACTCAGATGTCCAACAGTAATTTTTGATTTTGAAAAATTGTGGTATATTCACATAATGGAATGCTACACAACCATGAAGAACAATAGACTACTGTTATATTCAACAACGTAAGTGAACCTCACAGATATATGGTAGGGGGGAAGAAGCAAGACTCAAAAAAATACACACTGGTATTCTATTTATGTAAATTTCAAAACCAGGCAAAACTATCATGGTACCAGCAATCAGGACAATGGTTCCATAGTACAGCAAAGAAAAGGGAAAGGGCAGAAGAGAGGCAATATTCACATAATCACACACATCCCAGGGTTCAGAGCTGTGAAGGAAAAGTCCAGAGTGCTATAAGATAGAAGCAGGAAGACCTGACCATAACTGGGGACTCTGGGAGGGCTCCCCTGAGAAGGATGAGTTAGCCAAACAAAGGGCAGGGCAGAGGTGGAATTTACAAGGGTAAGGAAGTTACAAGCAGAGGGCACAGCATGTGCAAAAGCCCTGAGGTGGGAGGAAGCACGGCACCCTGGGAATGGTAGGTATGGCTAATACCCAGAGGCTGAGGGAGTGAGTGGCACAAATGTAGCTGGACGGTCACACTGGGGCTAGACTGGACAGGCCCTCATGGGCTCTAATGATGATTCAGGGAAAGGAGATGGGACATACCATCCAGGGTTTTAAGCAAACAAGTCATGTGACCTGGTGTAGGGTGGGGAGGGGCTGTGGCTTTGATCGCTTGGACCAGTCTGGCTGGACTTCCAGAGCTGGGTGTTTCCATTTCAGGCCTGCTCACCCATCACTGGGTGGTTCCACAAATGAAGGACCGTAACTTTCTAGTGGAGGAAGTGACTTGGACGGCTCTGAAGTTCTGTCTGGGCTCACTGCTGGCTGGAGAAGGTCCCTGCACTGATTTGCAAGTGCACCACTAGAAAGTCATTGTATTATTTTAGTGGTTTTTAGAAAAAATGGATAGAAGACTCAGCCTAGCTCTTTAGGGGTGGTTCTGCCCACGTGGGCCTCTGTGTTCTGACTCTAGGTGTTTGTTCTGTGTTCTGATCTTTTTACTGAGCAGTTTTGGTTGAGTTCAGTCATTTTCTAGATGGACAAGGCTGGGCAGAGGTTGGGTGCCAGCATGGACTCTCAGCGGGGAGGTAGATACCTGACTGCACAGTGTTGGCTGCAGGGCATGTTGAGGAGAGAGCGGGGAGGACGTGGGCAGGGAAGGCATGCCAGCATGGGAAAAGGATGATGGACAGACCACTCTTTAAAGCTGCTAGGGTGGGGTGGCTAGAGGGTGGGGTGCCTTTAGTCTGGGTGCACGCTGGCTCTGAGACTCAGGGCAGTGGCCTCAAAAATGTCAGTGTTAGCTATGTTCAATGTCAAGGACACGCCGACCTTCAGTGCACAAGGCAAGGAGAAGCCGAGTGGAAGGGACAAGGGCCAGCAGTGGGAAAGTGCCTGTAGGTGTGAGGCCCATGACTTGATGGCTCAACATGTGGAAAGCAAGTCAGCCAATGTAAGAAACAAAGTCCAATATGGTACTTCAGATGTGCTAGATGCTGTTCTAAGCACTTCAAAAAAGCATACCCATTTTGTAGATGAGAAAACTGAGGCACATATTGTCCAAGGTCACACACTAATATCAGAGCGGACAGGGTGCAAGTCCAGGCAGTCCTGGCTGCAAGCCCAAGCTCAGCTGCTTTTCTGCACTGAAGTGTTTACCCATAGTGTTGGAAAACAGAGCCAGCAGAGGGTAGCACCTTGCCAGGTCTGCACCTAGGAGCCCAGGAGTCTTTAATTAGCTACTTGGAACCCCTTAGAGACACCAAGGGCCCCTGTGGATGGGACTCAGTTTTTCCAAGATGCATGGATGATGCTGTTCCTAAGCTCAACTGACAGGGGTCTTAGACAATTATGCTCAGACTCCCATGCCCCATCCTCACACCATTCACTCATTGAGTCATTCAAAGGAGCACTTACTATACACCAGTCTTTAGGTGCCAGGGCTGTATTGGTTAACTAGAGAGAGCCTTCCTTTCAGTAGTGTTGGAGAGAAGGGGAAAGACATTAAACACACACAATTATTTAACTACAAATGTGATAAGAGCCTTGAAGAAGAAAAGCAAGGGACTATGATAGCATATTATAGGAAGGATGACTTTAGTATTCCCTGGGAATGAGAGTCACTAGGCCTGAGATTTTTAAATGAAGTTCCGTGGAGCTCTCTAGGTTTCTATGGGTGTTATTCCCAGAGTTATCTAAGCTTTTATGTTAAATTTGAATTAAATATATATATATATAT